CAGGCCGATATGGCTCAGTGGTTGAACATCAACCCATGCACCATGATGTCTCCAGTTCGATTCCTGGTCAGGGCAAATGCCCAGGTTGTAGACCAAATCCCCAGTGGGGGGCATGCAGGAGGAGACCAATTGATGTTCTATCTCCTCAATGTTTCTCTCTCTCTATCTCCCTTCCTTTCTCTAAAATCAATGAAGAGGAACTTCTGCTCAAGATGGCAGCATAGGTGCGGTATTGCCTCCTCCCAAAAGCATATCAAAATTACAACTAAACAACAATACAATCATCATTTATAACTGCCTGAAGTTGAACTGAATGGAAGTCCTACAACTACAATATTAAAGGAGCAGCCACACTGAGACTGGTAGGAAGGGCGGAGGCATGGAGAAAAGTGGTTTGTTACCTACAAAGGAGTTCCCATAAGATTGTCAGCTGATTCCTCAAAAGAAACTTTGCAGGACAGAAAGGAGGGGCAAGAGATATTCAAAGTGATGAAAAGCAAAGACCTACAACAAAGATTACTCTATCCTGCAAAGGTATCATTTAGAATTGATGGACATATCAAGAGCTGCCCAGAAAGAAAAAGCTAGAGAAGTTCTTCACCACCAAACCAGTATTATATAAAACATTGAAGGGTCTTCTTGAAGAACAAGAACAAAAATATGAACAATAAAATGGCAATTAATACATATCTATCAACAATTGAATCTACAAGCAAAATGAGCAAGCAGAACAGAAACAGACTCATAGATACAGAGAACTTGTTGCTGCTTACCAGATGGGTGGGGGTTGGGAGGATGGGAGAAAAAGATGAAGAAATTAAGAAGTACAAATGGGTTGTTAGACTGATGACCCTCAAGGGAAGGGGGCAGGGAGGGTGGGATGAGATAAAGCAAAGAACTTCTATGCATATGTGCATAACCAATGGACACTGCCAATAGTGTGGGAAAGGCAAGAGGGGGCGGGATTAGGGAGGAGGTGGTCAATGGGAATAAAAATGGGGGGGACATCTGTAATACATTCAACAATGAAGATTAGTTAAAAAATAAAATAAAACCAATAGCCCTGGCCAGTTTGGCTCAGCGGTTAGAGCGTCGGCCTGCGGTCCGGAGAGACCCGGGTTCGGTTCCCGCTAAGGGCATGTATTTTGGTTGCAGTTTGTCCCTGGCCCTGGTTGGTCGTGCGGGTGGCAGCCACTCGATGTGTCCCTTTCACATCGATGTTTCTCTCTCTCTCTCCCTTCCTCTCTCTCCCTCCTACTCTATCTGTACAAAAAATGGAAAAATATCCTCGGGTGAGGATAAAAAAATAAAAAATAAAAAATAAATAAAACCAATAAAGTAAAAAAAGAAAAAAGAAGAGGGGCATGTTAGTAGTTTTTTTGTTTTGCTTTAGTCAGCAGTATAATTTCCTTTGGTTGTACCTTTTTTTATTGAAATATTTTGTTTGTTTGTTTTTTACATCAGTGGATAAGAGATATTTATTCCTCAGATTTTATCTAGGGACCCCATTCTCAAATTAATACAATATTATAATATTTCATAATATAAGATATGATATGATATGATATAATATGATATAATATGATATAATATAATATAATATAAAATATGCATTCCAAAGAACCAACTCATCTGAGATCAAAAACTAAACTTAACACCCCCACCAAGTTTTTTCAAAAGTCACTAACCCAAAAATAAAAGGTATAATTAATTGAAATTTATTTCATATTGAAGAGCCTGAGAGTCATTCTACTTTCTGATACACAGAAGTTAAGTTTTCATATAAAAATAAAGATTAAACAGTAATCAACACTGTTGATTGTTTTGAATGTTTTGTAATAATGGAATAAAAGAGGGAATGAAAATTTCTATTTAGATTTTCTGACCCTTAACTATTGCTCAGAATATAGTAGTTCTTACTACATAAATTACAATGCACAGTTGACATCTACAGAATGTGTCATAGAGACCTAGTTACCAATAACCCAATCAGCTGCCACAAAATGGCTTAGCTCAGGTGGAGGAAGGCAAGTACAAGTATGGATTTGAAGATATTAAAATTGTCAACCCTCTAGGAAAAGTAACTTAAGCTGCATACTCTACTGATGTATAATTACCAAATATGCAAGAGGGCACATTACTGTAATTCACTGTTACTCTAGTCATCTTAAAGAATTAAGACCACATTCATAATGACCAAATTTGTCTCCAAGGAGTAACTCCAACTTGGGGAATATCTGGATCATTAAGTAATTTCCTTAGGTCAGAGTAAAAGCACTTTAACTATGAATATTACTTCCACGGCATATTGGATGTCGCACAAGTCAGGAACAAAGTGACCTTTCTCTTAAACAATTCATAGATTCACTAGAATTTTCTTAAACTTTCAGGAACTAAATACATTTCACAGTCTTATATGTCTTACATATTGATTTTCCTCTGAAATCTTTACTTAACCTGCTCACCATCATTGCCCCTTTACACCGTTATGTTCTTTATAATGTTAACTTTAGTTCATCTTCATTCCAGGTTCTATTGTTCATCATATTTTCAGATGTACACTCCATTATTGCTAAATAGACAGTTGCATAATAAACTTTGTTTCAATGTTCTAATTATTCCTGATATCTTATATTACAAAATAAGCTATTTTACTACATGCATTTTTAAACTGCTTGATTCTTCTCTCTTATTGAAAATAAAATAACAACATCCTTAATAATCGGAAAGAACAGTTACTTCTGAGAGAATACCTCAAACACAGATACAGAAAACTGAGAGCAGGATTTGCTGAGACCAAAGTTATACTGCCTAATAGAGCTTCATCTGGTCTTGACCAAAAATTATTTTGAAATTCTAAGGAAAATGATACAAAGGCAGGAATTGACTAGATGGACTCTAAGGAAAGAAAATAAAACGGAGAAAATAATAATTGTTGCTCAAAGTATCGTAGAGCAGTGAAGCGTTTCGGTGCGGTAAGAAGGGCACGCTTGGGAACGGAGTTCAGGAGCTCGGGGAGCCTGGGTGATGCCTGGATGCTCTGCTGATTTTGGTTAGCTTTAGGTTGGCCACGTAAAAGCAAAAACAACAAATACTTCAGATCTAACTGGGTCTCCCGTGTTCTGTGTTACATGTGTGTAGGCGGGATTGTGGGGAAGGGCAAAATGAGTGCCTGGTAGATATTCAATTTCTAATATTTAATTTGTATGAGGTGTTTATACTTTTTAGTATTTATTTGAAAAAGGTATATTGTGTCGATGTGGCATATTCTTCCAGAGATCTGATTCCTCATGGCAGCACAGCAAACCAGGTCTCAGCCCAACAGCACGCAAAAGCTATTTTCTTCTCTCAGTCACCTACCACTTGCTTGGTTTTCTGGATCCGTTTCTCTCTTCATGCACCAGGTGTGAACTCCTCATGTGAGGGCTCAGACTCTGCAGCTACTCTTATCCTAACTGGCACAACAAAAGACTTAATTGCTTATATTATGAGAGGATTTTCTAATACTGGACAGGGGTGTGTATGTTTGCTTTAAGGAATCAATTTGGGTAATAAAGTATTGCTGAAGGTCATGAATTCATATAAATATCTCGTATTATCATGAAGTCATCAGCAGGTTAAACCATTTATTAACAAAGAGCATTTTCTTCTTAAAAGCCATACTTTTTCTCAAAATATTACCTTCATTATTCCCCTCCTGTAAAAACAAAGCACATTTTTAAAAAATCACTCTGCCCCATTTTCAGGGTCTACTTTTCCAAAAAGACATCTTCTAACTGTATTTCTAAATCTCTAGCAACCATAGCACCACATAAAAGAGGTAGCTAGAAAAATGTAACAGATATTTTTTTTTTTTTTTTTCTGAATAACAAATCCACAGCCTTGAGTATATACACACCCATTTTAAATCTAAGTGAACTACTCTGAGATCATTTCTCAGGTCAAGGAGAGAAAATGGTCTTCGAATGACTGACAAGGTTACAGACACAATTTCGAGAGCATTTGTGATCAGCCTGTGTGACAACTCCTACAGCCAGCCACCAGCTTCTGCTCTCAGTGCTCTGTGCGACCTTCCTTGTGTGTCTATGTTGGTTTTAAGGGCAACAGAATCCCCCTGAGGAATGTCAGACGTAGGAAATATTAGCAACAGCTTTCATAAGAGTGTCAAGTTGTTAACTGGAAGTGATGAGTAACTTTATCTTACAGATGAGCTAGAAACTAAAATTTACTTTGAAATAAATTGAGGGATTGGCAATGGTGACTGAGGAATAAATGCTGTGATTTAAAATTGTTATTAAAGCTGGAATCCTTAACTCATCAACCTTATAATATATATTATAGGATTTTATAAATTGAAGTTGTCATTGAAGTGTGATTTTATGTTATTAATCATGAAAAATAAAGATGATGTTATAGCCTAGTTGTTATTCTAACAATGACTTTGTAATGATATTTGTTTCTTAATGTGATGCTTAGTGTTGGTAACTACTGTGGTGACCAATAGCCATAAAGAAAACAGTATCACCCTTCAGGAATCTCTACGGAAGGCTACGAAGGATGCAACACACCCCTTTTTGGACCACCTTCAGACTCTCATGTAATACGTGCTTTGGATAATTTACTTTCAGCCAAGAATTACTAATTGGCACTTGGTGAGCATGGTGGCTACCTCCAGTTATGCAGGTATCTGGAATTGCAATGACGACCAATTTCAGTGCAAAGTGAATTTTGCACTTGAAGTACAAAGGACCTCTGTAAGTTTAGGGAAATGGAAAGATTGGAAAAAGTGAAGAATGTTATGCATCCCAGATGCTTATCTATTTAGAATGCAGCAAAAAAAGAAAAATTAAGAGAGTTGAAAATACAAATGAAAGTAATCATGTCTTTTTGAGTGGAAGAACAATCTTCTGGATTACGAATAAGATGTTTACATCAATCTGCAGAAAATAAATGTGAGAAGGCCTTGTAGCATCTGATAGAATTTTGATTCGTCTACTTACCCACAGGAGACATTTCTGGGACACTAGCAACATACGGTCCATCCAAAAACTTTGGTTCATTATCATTAATGTCCTGCACTTTGATAATGAATTCTGATTCAGGCTCCAGGGGCTTCCTGGTCTCTATGTCCACAGCCTGAGCACGAAGCGTGTAGAAAGGTTTTTCTTCTCTATCCAGGCTCCTTATTGCATGAATGTCCCCTGTAGTTTCATCAATGGTAAAAACGGTGCCAGCGCCATCTCCTGAGAGGGTGTATTTAACAGTGCCCTCTCCCTTATCTAAGTCAGAATGGAGCTATGGGGGAAAGGAGGGAAGGGGGGAGGGAGAGGGGGAGAGAGGGGGGAGAGAGAGAGAGAGAATGAAGATCATTAAAGGGATGGTTCTAGGTTAAAAAGCCATACTTGCAGTAAAATTTTTAACCAGAAAAGTTAAACAAAAACAATATGGTTCTTTGTAAAATCAGTTTGTTTTTATTCACCAACATTTTGATTATAGACATTTTAAATACATGAGAAACAAAGTTTGAAAATGTATAGTGATCACCTGTATATTCCAAGGACTCCATTTTCCTTTTAACCTACTTGACTTATTGCATAGATAGATCACATATCTGTCCTTCATTTCACATTCTGTCAATCCATCTTATTACTCAGCACATCGTAGAGATCAAAAGTGTAGAGCCCAAATACGTCAGCATGCATAAATACAACTATTTTGAACATTTGTATCTATTTACTTCTTTTACATACTTTTGGAGAAATTTTTTTGTAAAATAAAATGCACAAACCTTAAGTGCACTTGTTTCGTTTTTAATAATTGTAATTATAACAAATTTGCTCATTAATGCCAAATCATAAACTCTCCAAATATTCTGAAGATAGAAATCAAGGACTTGAATTCAGTGAGAAATAAGAAAAAGGAACTCAGAAAACACTGAGCCTTTTCATTTGAAAGGAGAGGAGAGTTTTAACAGACTAGGACAACATTTTTATTCATGATACAGTGATCTCATGTTAATAGATTGACTTTCAATGAGATACTCAATATTACTCATCTAAATAATGGGTAGAATCACTGATTATCTTTTCAAATTCACAGATAAATGGCTTGTTCTAATACACTATATATTTAAAATCTTAAAGAAAAATTTTGAACTTCTGTTAATTTCTTTTGAAATTTAACACTTATAACTCACTATTATAGCATAAAATAGGACACACATAAATAGCATAAGGGAGAGAAACAAGGAGAAGAGAAATTCTTGGGATACAGTAGGTTAGTGTCTCTCAAACGGGAATCCAAGAGTTAATGGAATATATACCTACTCTTATGGATCCATAAATTATTCAAAATTAATAAATATATTTGTTATATACTAAATTACATTAATATTACATGATATGCAACTCTTTAATAATATGTATACTAGTAAATATATTTTAAAATGCATAATTTTACAAACTTTGTAAAATATATATTCTTATAAATAATATGTATTATTTTCATTCAGATGCTGATCTAAAATGTTTTATACTATGATCACTCATTTGGCTACAGCATCTGATTTCAGTGTCCAAGTTTTTATATTCAAAAGCTCATTTCAGTCAACAGGTCAAAGAAAAAGTGTTTGACTTTTAATGTGTCCACAGCCATTTGGGTGTGCTTTAAAATGTGCAGATGGGCACAGTTCTCTTGCAAAATTTTGAGTAAGAATAAGCTTTTTTTTTTTTTTATAATATTTTAACACCAAAAATTTTTTTGAAAATGTTTTAAGTTATATAAACATCCTTTAGCAAATAGATCTTCTGGTATTAGTATTACTAACATCAAGAAAACATAAACATAACTGTGGCCATATTTTTTTATTATTATTAAATTTTGTTTTAAATTAATTTTAGAGAGAGAGGAAGGGAGAAGGAAAGAGAGATAAAAACATCGATGAGAGAGAACATTGATTGGCTGCCTCCTGCATGCTCCCTACTGGAGATCTGGCCCACAACCTAGGCATGTGCTCTGACTGGGAATGGAATCACGACCTCTTGGTGCAGGGTCAATGCTCAACCACTGAGCCACACCAGCTGGACTATGGCCATATCTTTGGATTTAAACTCTACATTCTGGTTTAGGTACAGTAAGATAATATCATCATTCCATTTAATGGTATTAAAATAAATGTATTCATTTTGTAAATTTGTATTGATATCAAAATTTGCTCTGAAAGTATATGTGTATATGAGTACAAGCAAAGGATTTAGACCTGAGTAAATTATATAATTAAGAGAATGAGAAAACAATGAGGGGGCGCCAGATTTTGAGGTTTTCTTTTTGAAGTTTCTGTATATTTTACTCAAGCCTAAGAAAAATGCAGTGAATGACAGGAGGAAGTTTTTCCCTAATACTTTACAAACTGCAGTGAAGCGTAAGACATTTCTAGTGTAAAATCAAGCTGTAGATAAACCTTCTTTGAACTTAGGAATTCAAATTACAGATTTCAACCAAACTATTAAAAATATTCAATGCACTGGGTATTGCTTTTGCTTTCAAATTTATCTAAAGATATGAGACAAGCAAAAGCTCAATGCAAAAGCAATGACTTTATAAACTGTATCCGTTTTGCCAACGGCTCGAAGAAATATGTGGTAATATTATAGAAACCGAGTAAAAATTCTAAATAGGTTTTTACAACGTGAGCTAAGTAGTTACCAAAAAAATCTTCATTTAGCTAAAATCAGAACCACTTTCTTTTCAAACTGACATAATGGAAAAGCAAATGTGTTTTCAGCTCCATCCAAATTCCAGTTTCAATTGGGTTGCTCCTCCTTCCTCTTCCACTTTTGCTTCTAAGTTAAATCTGAGTTTTGTAGAAATTAAAGCTTCAAAAAAATATTTGAAAATACATTAAAATTTGAACTGAAAAATGAACTTGATAAATGTAAAGCTCTTGAGAAGATTAGAATGTTATAGTAGCTCCTTGCAGGATAATGCCTTAAAGGAGATTACATACAATAACCTGCCCTGGGAGGCAACATTTAAAACCAGTTATTCAGTGTTGATTAATCAGGCACATGGGTGACTAGCTTTACTATAGGTGTTTATCCACAGCCCTTTCTACTATTAAATAAATGATGTTGACCTGATGTTGGGTATTATAGAATTTTGTTTATATTGCATATAAAATAATTTGAATAGAGAATTTTACCCTCTAAAGTAAAAATTCTCATCAGTCTTTTACTAGAGAAAACTTCTTTGATCATTTTTAGTCACTCTAATTTATTTATATTTATAGATTAATAAATGTATATATATGTATGTATATATATATACACATATCTAAATTGATACACACATATTAATGTATCTATGTGTTTTCTTGTATGTGTATATAATACTTTCTAATTTTATATACATATGTGTATAATATTTAATAATGATAAGTGAGTCAATACTTTCAATAATAATATACTATAATAATTTTTCAGCATCATTTGAAATTATTCAAAATTATGTTTTAATGTTTGTATTACATTCATTTAAGGAAGTCAATGAGTTTTGCTTCTCCTTTTTTAAACAGTGTGATGAATGTGTTATGTGTTACACGGTTTAGTTCCTCAAAATAAAAGGCTAATTATTAAGATCACAATCAGAATCATTTTTATCAAACTTTTTGAATCATGAATGATTCCAGAAATTGATTTCTATAGATGAAATTGTGTCTTTAATCTTTCGGCAAGGAAATTTAATTCAGGCTTAGCTTATACTGCAGAGGTGCTGTTTCGTTTATTTGGATAAAGAAGGGATACAGAGGAAGATTCTTGTGCTTTGGCTCATCTTTGGATTGTGTTAACCAGAAAAATCACACAGACTCTTTAAGCTACACATACAGCAAGCTAATAATTCCTTCCTAGCCATTTAAAACCAATAGCAAGCACTGCTTCTTATTTCAATTATTTTTAAAAAGCTGTTTCTGGGTAGGTGCTGGCTATATTTACTGACTGACACAGCCAACTCCAATAAAATCAACTTTTAGTAGTGACACTTAAAATAAAATTTGTTCTAGAAACAGAGTTCCATAAGTGATGGATGTAGAAATAGGTGGTGTCCAGGCAGTTGTTTTGTGGAAGTGGTGTTGTTATTTTCTGATGTTTTCCGAGTCATCTTAGATGGAGCGTGAAAATGAGATGCCGAAAGAGGCTTAAAAAAGATACTGAGGACTAGCTTCAGAGTGCAAGTGAAACTGAATTCCAGTGCTTAAAAGTTCTGAGAAAGCTAATATAAAGTTAAGTATTTACTAGCATCTCTCTGATTATATTTTAAAAACTGCTGCACACAAGAAGGGATTTATTCTTCTTTCCTCTGGGTTGAAAAGTGCACATAAGAATAGAAAATGTTTTTATATTACTATGTCCAGCAGTGATTTTATTATCATTTGCTATTTTCTAGGATAGGGGGTGGTTACTCGACATGGGGAGAGAATGGGGGTTTGTTGAAGGGAGAAATTGTTTTATTTACATACAGATGTATTCAGATAAACTTGCAAAAATGAGTATAAGATAATTTTATGGGAGTTTCTTTGACTGGAATAATTTCATTATGTATAAAACAAATGACTTTTGCTAGATTCTCCTTGGTGATCTAATAAAATACTTAGTGTTTCCTTTTTTATAGTTGCTTAGTTTCCTGTTAATGCCTATTCTGTTCTCAGAAACATCACAGTGGCCACTGTTATTAGCTACAAAGCCATTAGATTGTTTTTAACGCATTGTTTATTGACAAAAGAAGACCAGACCAGGAGATGATTTATAACTCTGTCTGAGTAACGGTATAATGCAACATTTCTTTCTTTCCGAAGCCACTGACTGCTCAAGAATATTTGACATCTATTCCATTCTGCTCCCGAAGGGCACTGATTGTTCCTCCTCACTTGATTGTTGCCATTTGAGCAAGAGGAATACTGCTTTACAAGGGTGGGAATTCCCTTCAACAGCTCATTGTGCATTGAGAACTCCCCTGCCTGGGTTACGGACCCAAAGCTATTTATCATTTGGAAATATTTCAACTTCTATTTAAGAATGTAGAAATCCATTTCAAAAAGGCCCACATTTCCCCAGAGGTGTGCCAAGGAAGAGCAAAGAACAAAGGCTATTTACAATGTTTGGAGGCAACAAAAGCTAGTGTTCTAGGATTTACTATATACATCTTGTTGCTAAAAAGAAACAACAGGCCCAGCATGGAGTCACATCACCAAACCAAGTCCCTTAGCCTAATTCTAGTCTTAACCTTTCTCAGGAAAGTAA